GTATGTATATATGTATATGTATATATGTATATGTATATGTATATCACACACACACACACACACACACACACAATATATATATATATATGCTGGCATACTTGAGAATCATTACTTTCGAAGTATACATACCGTGTCATCGTAGCTGTACATATCCGGGTCATAGTAGGGGCTGATTGAGTGTTGCTGTGCAGTTACTGGGTACTTAGACACTATGTGTCTCCGAGCAGCCGTGTTACCTCCACTACTTGCCATGCGTATGCCGTTGTATGCCTTCAGAAGAGCACTCCTCGCCCCAAGACTACGTGCATATAAATAGTTCAACTGAGTAAACTACTGAGAGCGAGAGAATGGTTTATAGATAAAGCAAGACACTTGAGAAAGTACGACATGGATACAGATTAGGTCACTAGAAATTTACGCCATCTAAATGTTGGATTGGAACTGCTGAAAGAGTGACATGCTGCTTATTCATCCATACCTTTTCCTCCAGGTCCTTATAGATATCTATTGAATTGATAGCCGGATACACGCTGATTCATGCGGGCGACAGCTTTCGCTCAAAATACACTGATTGCTTTTGTACATAAGTTTACATGCGCATGTGTTTCCGAGATGTGTCTGGCAAATATTTATCGCACAAAAGTATAAACAAACGTATACGTGAATTTGTATATATATTACTTACTATACCAATACGTTGAAACATGTATATGTGAGGTCTGAACATTTCAATACAAGCCCGTTTTCCCGCCCCTGGACAGCTATCGTAACATATTTTATACACAGTTACCGTAACCTAGCAACTGCATGTTAAAGTAAGAACACTCGCTCACCTGTTTGCACTGTGTGGTACGTCGTCAGCGTACAACGTATCCCCCGCACAGGTTAGCGCATTCGCCAGCGCAATCGAGTCGTTCTGGTGCACACTGAGCACCTGGCCGTAAGGTATGTTGTACACAACCAACAGCAAATGATGCTGAGCTGTGGTATGGTATGAATGTATCGTCAATAACATTGTATTCGATGTATTGATAACATTGCGTGTGATAGTAGATGGGTGTTGCACATTGAGCAACTGAATGTGGAGTATAGTGTACTCCACCAAACAGCAGGTAGTACTGAGCTATGTGATATGGTGAAAAGGTTTGTCTGCGATATTTACTATTAATATGTAGGAGATACGTATATGGTGTTAGCCTGTCGTTTTACACTAAGCATTTGACTGTACGAAATAGTGAACACGACTGATAGCAACTGATGCAGAGCTGTGTGGTAAAGTAGGTGCGTGCTCAGCAGTATACACATAGACTATATCGCTGTAGTTACACTGAAGACCTGACTGTGGGGTGTGCCGTACACAACTAGTTGGAGATGATGCTGAGCTGTATATCATGATCAGTAATATTTACCACTGATGAATCGACTACCCTTCTACACCAAGTACTTGGTCGTAATGAAGCTGTATCACAATTAGTGATTTGTCTTCTTCGTCACTATCATAGTTGGTTGGCTCAGAAATGTGCCTCCCTTGCTTGTACGTGTGGTTAGTCGTCTCAGATACAATCACTTACTCGTCATTTAGAGAGCTTACAGTGTATATATAGTCTTTAAAATTAGTATCATGTATACTGTAGTTTGTTTTGGGAGATGTCTACACCAGAGATACATCTCCCATGCGACTACATGTGAACGTTCATGTCAGTTTCTATCATTTATATTTCATATCGATAGTATACTCACAGGTGTGATTGGTCCGCTCTATGTCTATCCCATTCACTACCCAAACAAACTACATACTTACTATATTTTGTTCCAGGGGATGTCTGGACCACAGATGCGTCTCCCATACGTATGAGCAGGTGGTCGTCATCTATGAGCTGGGCTTTCAGGATCGCAAGATTCTCATAACTCTCTATGTTGCGCAAGAACAACTGCACATTATCCTTACCACCGCCACGTGTTCCTTCCTCAATCTCACTTGTTGGCAGCATTTCTCCTTTCTCTGGCTTGCTCTGCTCTCCGATTGCTTCGCCTGCGCTAGTCCGCGTTTCTTCTACTTCGGGTTCGTGGGTCAATCCTTCTCTTGGTTCCGACTCGTTAGCATGCGTCCGTTGACCAGAAAAATCACCCGGGCCTACCTCCACATCCTCCCGCGTAGTTATCGTTGGTGTGTATGCTGAATTACGCACCCGTGTACGCCTATCCACACGTGTGTGTGAGGTTGTACTTGTCTTTCCTTCCGATGTCCTACCCTGTTTGGCTGTGGCTGGATCGTCTTCCTTGCCATGTTTTAATAACTCTAAGGCTGTGTCGGAAGGCTTTGTTGCACCGCAGTCGCGGGCAAGCGCTCGGCGGTACAGGTAGGACAGGATACGTTGCTTGAGAGAACTACAAGTAAGTAGAGTAAAATACATACGGATTGTATATTGTGATGTTAGTTACGTTACAATTCGTTGATCTAGGTCTGAGCTTTATGGGTAAACATGTGGGCTACTGTGGAGAAGCGGCACAAAGGGGTAGCCAGATAATATATGTTTGAATCGCATGTTCAGATATGATAGCATACATGTAGACAAACATCCCAAATTAACGTATGCAGGTGATCTGTTGTAAGTAGAGTCTTTCCAAATTCTCATGTGTATCTACTCACTCGTCTAAATAATCTAGCGAAGTTGGCATAATTGCTATGAATAAGCATGAGTGCCGATGAAAGTGTGGATATATAATAACATTTAAGCCTATGTTTTCATTCGAGCCATACTTAATTAAAGGAATATGTACAAAGCTATACGTGCTTCACAAACTTAAATGTGCACGACATTATCTGTTTATAGATATACACATACTTCAGCATATATCACTCCGTTTACAATGTAAATGTACATTGTCAGAGCTGTGTGGGAAATGTACAAATATAAGTAGACGATACATGCAAACCCAAGCTGCGCTGCAGGTCGCGAGCACTCACTATACCCCGGTCACGATAGTACAAATCTATAGATACACAACCCTCTGGAAAATAGGATTCGATCCAGATGTGCTAATAATCATTTCACACACAACTCGATGCCCATATATTGAATGGTTACATTATGCATACGCTAGCACGGCATCCAAAAACAACCATCTACCGGGAATGCGCTAGGTCACATAATACACCCAATGTTCATACACACTCATATATCTGCCAGACCCGCGAGAATACATCCCGCACACAGCCATACCGACCCATGTATCTCTGAGATGACTGAGGCATGACATCCACAAACTCGTATATCCGTATAAACATCTTTTTTTTCTATGATTATGTTATTTATGACATCCAAACACACTGATGTATCCGATACATGGATTAATTTACCCGCTATAGAAGGCATCCATACACACCTATGAATCCGGAAAATACATTAGCATACACCCTATACACTACATACGCACACACACCCATATATCTGTGATGACTGAGCTGTTTGTGTGTGCGTGTCGTGCTCATCGCCACCTTGCGAATCTCTTCGCTGCCACACCGGACGACCGCTCTGCACATCTATCACCACTCCTCGCGTTGGTGCTCGTGCTATATAGGCTGCAGGGCTCCTATGACATAATTGGGTATGTTCCAGCAATCAATTAACTGTTTTAGCTACAGCTTCATGGTGAGTTCAACACTTTGTATGTGTGTATGTGATTGGAATAGTAGCATAGCTCATTGGTTCATATGCTATATGCGCTGCACGGTTTCTAAAAGATCCGTGTGTTTGTCAGAACATTTAATCAAATGCTGAAGTGACAGTTATCTTGAAACCCTATCTCATACTATGTATGTGAGAATGACAGCAAGCTCACAGTATTCGTTGGTGCGCATACTAAATAGACCGCCTGACACTATATAATCTCTGTATAAGATATATCAAATCAAATCACTACTCGAGAAGGGCATGTGGGTGTTAACGTGATACGTATCACTACCAGCACTCGTTGGTGTACCTTCATGTGCAACTAGGCGTCTTCAAGATTTATATGCGTGTTATATCAATAATGTAGGTAGATATGCGAGCGCCATGAAAATGAGTGGGTCAATGTATTGAATCTAAAATCCGTTGGTCTCTGTGTCACATGCGCTGCAGGACTTCTTCGGACTCAGCATATACATAATTGCAAAGTGAGCACATGATGAAGACTACATGAAAGTGGGTGCAATATACCCTGTTTTAGAGTTTAGGGTTTTAAGGTTTAGTAGTAGCCCCTCTGTCGTCAGTACACCCCACACGTTCATGGTCGTGTCGGACATTGACCAGGATCGCGATGGTAACCGGATCAACCGCGTCTTCTGCAAGACTGCACTCGACACCCTCCGCAAGTTCAACCACCATCTACGTCAATGTAGAAGGCATGATTGCCGTGCCGTTTACACTTACACAGTTGTTTGAAAACAGCCCTCGTTACCTGTTTGTCCCGTGCAACAATGCCCCCTGCGCCCGAGTGTTCCCTGGTAGATTGTTGACTATATTCGCGACTCGGAGTAAATCCTGAGCCTCTCCGACACCACTTGCAGAGAGCAGTATTCGTTCGGCTGTGACTGACTGTGAGGCGTCTCTGCGCGTGATGGTGGGCGCCTGTCCCGTCGGTAGTCGCGTAGGCCTGGCAAACAGGTGGTGTAGCTTGTAAGTGCAAATTCACTAGTATTGCAAGGCTGGTTATTAGTGACTTTATTACTAATATGAGACAGTAAAAGCGGGAGAAAGAGTTATGTGGTAGTTGGCTGAACCCTAAGTACTCCTGCAAGGCTTATCTTATGTGTTTGCCAATATGTAAACACTAGCGTCTGCTTAAAATATAGTATCTTTGGACTTGACCCAGTTTTACTTGAAACTTGGATTTTGGTTCCAGACCTATCTTGCTATACATATCAGACCAAGGTTAAATGAGAAAGTCATGATTCTGTACACCTATACATTATGCCAAGATTATACAAAAGTTACCTTCTTATACTTGTTGACCTGCTGAACCAATATGTACTCATGGATTTTTGCTGCTTTTGAGTGCAAATTCGCAGGTTTGTAACCAAATGAATATACTTACTGATCCTTTCGTATAGAAAGGGATTACAGACTAGCTGCGCAGCTCACTACAAAAGTCAGTGTCTACCTTCACATCACCCAGATCTCCACACCTTGTCCATGTACAAGAAGCGTGTGATTTAACAAACACGACCATTTAACGTGCCTATGTGACATTCAATACCACTTTTCTTTAGAGCAAAGTCTGCACAAGACTCGATCTACCTGTTAGCCGTGGTTGGTCTCTGTGATTGGTCCTCAGCGGTAACATTCGTGGGTATAATTGCGGGTTGGAGTAAGGTCTGACCCGTTATGGACTCTCTCGTGAAGCGGACAGGTCTGGAGATAGATACACGGGACAGTAAATACACGCTCTCTCGCCTTGAATTCTGTGATGCTTGCAGGTAAAGTCATCGCCATGGGCGCAAGGTTGTGATGTCGATCAAGTAAATATATACATGCTTAAACACATACACACACATACACATATACACATACACACAAACACACACACACACTCGCATACAAACACACACACATATATATATATATGTATGTATATATATATATTATTTATATATATATATATATATATATATACTAGTAGTAGTTATTAGTATATATATTATAATAATATTATATATATATATATATGTATATATAATATATATATATATATAGTTATTTATTTATT